GACTTATACTATTGTAAGCAACTGAGTTAGGTAGAAACATTATAGGCAGTCAGACAGGGCTAGGCCCTCGAAGAGGCCAGTGCAGAAGACAGATACACACAACTGTGGGTTGACTCAGGCCCCGCCGCTGTGGGCCAGACCTGGAGACAAAAGATAAAACAAATGCACTCACGCACCTCCCTCAGGATAAGCACCAGGGATTGATATTCTAAGTAGGTCTCTATCACCCTGAGGAAGCCAGGAAGAGTCACTAACTCAGCTCCCTACAGGAAAAGCCCCTGTTCTCTAATCATGCCCACCTTCTACGTGACTCGCTTCCCTATTTGATCCCGATTTAATCAATTTTACCTGAGCGATTATACTTGTAATCCTATTGGTTGAAAATAGTTTTGTCCCACCTCACGCCTATCTTGAGATTTCCCATGTTTCCCACCTGCCTTGAGTCATGGATTTGCTCCGTGAAAATCCCTAGAAAAGGCAAGATTCTTGACAACCCACTGGGGACCCCTTCTGTCCTTCTCTCAGATAGCAGCTTTCTTTTCCCCAATAAATATATTCTGCTCTTAACCTCCATTGTTCCTAAAACTCATTCCTCAATTTTAGAGAACATGAACTCGTACCAGGTATCTAGCAGGTTGGGAGTTTCTTTCCCCTGTATCAATACCAGCAACGAGTGACCAAAAAACAGGAAAGAGAACAGAGAAAAGAGGGGAGAAACTTGTGGCAGACCTGTGGCTCTCCCTTATCAGCTCAGAAAAACAGAGCCCATGATCTTCCCTTCCATGGTCCCAGAGTCATGAGAAAACTTCCTAAGTTCCCCAGCTTCCAGGAGATTTTTATCACCCTCTATCTCCTCATCTCTCTCCGACAACAAACATTAAAAAAAAGTTAAAGGATTTGAGCCCTCTGACAGATGTCTTGGCAGAGAAGGGACAAGAAGGGTTTGGGGCTTTCTTAGGGGAAGGAAAAAGGGAAAGAAAAAAAACTAAACCCATCTTTTTTAGCTTGAGTCCATAGATTTCTTTTTCTTTCTTTCTTTTCTTTTCTTTCTTTCTTTCTTTCTTTCTTTCTTTTTTTTTTTTTTTTTAGGGTCTCACTATACAGTTCAGGCTGGCCTTGAGCTCACTTTGTAGCCCAGGCTGGTCTCAAACTTGCAACGATCCTCCTGCCTCAGCCTCCTGAGTGCTGGGATTACAGACATGTGCCACCGTGCCTGGCAAGTCCATAGATTTCAGAGAAGGACAGAAACAAAGCCTTGCCCAAAGGCCTCACCTCCTGGCTGGCTTCACCAAAATATGTTACCAGGTTCTGGGGGGCAGGGTTCTAGAGGTGTTTTCTTGGTTCTTTCAAATAATTGGTCAAAACAGGTACAAAAGGTACTGAGGTTTTACGTTTATTAAAGGTAGGAAAAGAAATCTGCTCAGCAGAGCAAGTGTGGACCAATAAAAAGTAGGAAAAGATGTACATTCTGCAGAGTGAGAGCCAGCCACTGTGAATGAGAGAGCATAGTGTCCAAGAGTTTAATGGTGGCTACCTTTTGTATCCTCCACTCCTTAGGCTGACATCAAATCTGTGCTCACCTATCAAAAACCTGCCCGAGTTTTCACAAAAAGAACTGAAGATAATGTAGCATTCTCTGATTGGCCCCAGGTGCAGGGATTGGGCACATAGCCTGAATCTCCATGATTGACAGGTCACACCCACTTGCTCAGCCAGCTGGCCATGCCTTAATCTCCTGCCTCACTATTGTTGTCTCCATTTACAAATGTGCAAATGGCTGGGTGTGGCAGTTCACGCCTGTAATCCCAGCACTTGGGAGGCTGAGGCAGGAGGATCATTGCGAGTTTGAGACCAGCCTGGGCTACAAAGTGAGCTCAAGGCCAGCCTGAACTGCATAATGAGACCTTGTTTCAAAAACAAAACAAAACAAAAAAAACAAACACATACATGCAAATGGAGGCACAGAAAGGTTATATAATTTCTCCAAATCACACCAGCAGCCTTATTTCAGGGTCTGGATTTCTAATCATTTCTTTTTCACAGAAGAGATAAATAATACACACATGAACAACAACAACAACATATATGACATATAATAAGGTGATCAGAACTAGAAAGAAAAACATCATGTCATAAAACACATCCAGCCTAGAATGGTGGTGGCACACACCTGTAATTCCAGCACTCAGGAGGATGAGGCAGGAAGGTCACTGAGAGTTTGAGGCTAGCCTGGGCTACATAGCGAATTCAAGGCTGGAATACATAATGAGACTATGTCACAAAAATAAAAATGAAAAAATAAAAAATGAAACACATCCCATAGCCAAATTGAATGTGTAAGGCTGGGAAGTAGCATGGTGGTAGAGCCCTTGCCTAGCATGCAGAAGACCTGGATTCCAACCCCAGTGTTACAACAAAAAGTGTATAAGATGCAGAACCCACTGATCCCACTATGTTTGTAGATGTTTTCCTGATGGCCCCAAACCAGAAACAGATTTGGTTCTCCCAGTGGTTGAACAGAGAAACATGTTTTAAAACATGTGTGCCATGGAATGCTACTCAGCGATAAAGGAGAGAGCATTCCTTTTGTTTGCTGCTTATTTGTTTTGAGACGGGGTCTTGCTACATAATTCCTTCGCACCTCGAATCTTCATTCCTCCTGCCTCAACCTCCCAAGTGCTAGGATTACAGGTGTTTGCCACTGTAAAGGCAGAAGGAATTCTTGATAGGCACAATGACATGGATGAATTGCAAGTGTATCCCATGAGGAGTGAAAGAAGTTGGTCTTAAAAGGCTCTGAACTGTATGATCCATTCAAGGCACCCTGGGAAAGGTAAATCTAATCCATAGTGACAGAGAGTAGAGTAGTTGTTGCCTGAGGCTGGGATACAGAGGGAAGATTCAGTGCATAGCGACAGGAGGGAATTGTTTGGGTGATAGAAACGCTCTCTCTTTTTGCAGTGCTGGGAATGGAACCCAGCACTCTACACAAGCATGCTACCACCAAGCCACATCCCCAGCCAATGTTCTCTATCTCTTCCCCACCCCCCGGAGGTACTGAGGGTTGAACCCAAGGCCTTCACACTGAGCTACATCCCCACCCTTTTTGTGTGTTTTATTTTGAGACATAGTCTTGCTAAATCACTAAGTTTCTCAGGCAAGGCTCAAACTTGCAATCCTCCTGCCTCAGCCTCCCAGAGGGCTGGGATTATAGTTGTACATCACCAAGTTGGGCTTGTTCTGTATCTTGATCATGGTGGTAATTTCATGGGCATGTTCCCCTGTTAAAACTCAGCAAAATGTACACTTTTAAAAGGTGCAGGTAGTTGTATTTAGTTATATCCAACAGTTATATTTAAAAGGATGTTAAAAGTGCAGTGGAATAAAATACAGACTTTAGTTACTAATAATATATCACACCGGCTCATTAACTGTAACGAATGTACTATGGGGTAAGCTGGTCAGTGGGGCTTATGGGAACTCTATTCTCTACACTTTTTTTTGGTAAAACTGTTCTAAAACATTAAGTTTATTTTTAAAAAATGAGAAAATGGGCCGGGGATATAGTTCAGTGGTTCCTTGCCTGCCTGACAAGGGCGATGTCCTGAGTTCGATTTCCGGTACCAAAAAAAAAAAAAAAAGAGAGAGAGAGAGAGAAAATGCAGTGGATAGATGATTTTATGCTCATGTTCATTTCAGCAGGCAGGAAAAACAGGTCTCGGCCCTCCCACGCCACATGACAGGATTCTGGTTTGTCTCACAGCCTCTTGACACCTCTCTCAGCTTCGCCCCCCCCCCCCGCAGAGCCTCGGGACTCACACACGCTCCGGGGTAGGTGAGGCGCTCTCTCCTGCGTGCCTGCGTCCCTGGCAGCCAGCTATGGGAGCTCCCAAGGGCTGGGCCTTTATCTGATTCTCCTACATCACTGTCATTCCTCCTCTTGGCAGTGTGCGCGCTCAGAGGCAGGGACCACAACCTGTCAGCACTGTAGCTGCGCTTCCCATTTCCTACTTCAGCCGCCCGTGTGCACTGAGCATCCACTGCCTCCCCTCTCAACTCCCACCCCTCCAGCGCTGCCTCCAGGGACCCGGATGCCAGGGAAGCAGATCTGTATAGACCCCCTGTGGCCTGGGGCCTCCCGTTTTGATGGAGGAGACAAAGACTAAATAAATAAATTAAACATGTCTCTGCATAGTCGCAAGATCTATGTTCTAGAAAAAAAAAAGAGTAGGTCAGGGAAGAGGGATGGGAAGTGCTGGGAGACTGGCTTTCTTTTTCTTTCTTTCTTTCTTTCTTTCTTTCTTTCTTTCTTTCTTTCTTTCTTTCTTTCTTTTTCTTTCTTTCTTTCCCTGGTACTTTGGATTGAACCGGAGCCTTTACACTGGGCCACACCCCAGCTCTTGTTTTTTATTTTTTATTCTGAGACAGGGCCTCACTAAGTCACTAAATTACTCACACTGGGCTCAAACTTGCGATCTTCCTGCCTCAGCTTCCCAGCATGCTGGGATTACAGGCTAGGATTTTGCAGTGTTGGGCAGGGAACCCAGGGCCTCCCACATGTGAGACAAGTGCTCTGTCCCTGAGCTACGTCCTGAGCCTGGGACTGTGTCAAACCAGCTTGTCAGGAAGGCCACCTAGAAGGCAACACTGAGCAAAGAGCTGAGGGAGGCAGTCATGTGAAAGCGTGGGCCGAGTGTCCTGGACCGGGGTCACAGCTGGTGCCAGGGGGGTGCCTGATACAGAGGCCGGTGTGGCTGAGCAAGGCGTGCAGGAGGGGGGGAGGGGCAGGGGCTCAGCGGCCACAGAGAGGCTCTGAGCAGGCTTGTGTGGGGAGCAGACTGTCACACGGAGGGAGCAGGGACCCAGGGCGGGGGAGACTGTGACAGGAGGAGGGCGGGGAGCTCTGGGAGGGCGAGGCGAGTGGTTCTAGGTAGACGTTAAAGCGGAGCACACTGAATTTACCAGCTGATTGGCTGGTAAGAGAAAAAGAGCCGAAGAGATACCAAGGCTTGGATGTCATTTAATCCCCCGGACAATGCACAAAGTCTTATCATGCATAAGAGGGCGTGGGACTCGGAGAGGGCGCGCACACAGGAAGGGCAGAGCTGGGCGGTCTTTGCCCTCTGTGGGCCCCACCCCCAGCCTTGTCCCCCGCCCCACGCAGCCTGGGTGACAGATCCTCCGTGCACCCTCACCTGCAGTGACTCTCCAGCGTGTGACGTCGGGGCCCCGGCCCATCCCTCCACGGCATCCCCCGCTGTGGGCCACCTGGATTGGCGGCCTGTTTCCCTGTCTACTGCAGCTCTGCAGGACATGACCCCCAGGGTCGCTGGCCCAGAGTCTAGCCGCAGTCACCTTCATCTAGGCAACAAACACTTATCAAGTGTCCGAGAGGTGCCAGGCCACACTGGGTGCGGCTCTCGCCAGCCCTCCTGTGATAAGCTGTCACCCTGGCCGGGGGCGGGGCCCAGGAGGCTTTGGTGGAGGTGACAGGCTCCGACGTGAACAAAAAGTCCCTGGTCACAGACCCCCAGCCCAGGGTGCTGAGATTATGATCAGAAGAGCCCGAAATTGTTCAGCACAGAGGAGGGTGAGCGAGCAGGTCGTCCCATAGCAACGCCATGCAGACAGCCCGCACCCTGGAGACCGCTGGAATCCCACCAAATTGCTCCTCATCTGGGGGCTGTCCCGTGGCTCCACCCAAAACCCTCACTGTGGCCCACAAAGCTCCGTCTGCATGGTCACCTCCCTGCCCCCACCCCCAAGTCCCGCTGCTCCTGCCAATCCACCTCTGGGCCAATAGCCCTACCATCTGCCCAGTCTCTGTCTCAGGGCCTTTGCACAGCTCTTCCTTTGCCTCAGATGCTCTTCCTTCAGGCATCAGCCCGCCTGTCTTCTCCCTCATCTCCTTCAGATCAGATGTCACCTCCCAGTGAGGGCTCCCTGAAAGCTAACCCTGTCCCCCTCTCCATCCCTCTTGCCTGCCTTTTCTGAGCGCTCATCAGCCTGTCATTTTCTTGTTTATGGTGTTTCCTGTCCAATTCCCAGATTGCAATGCCCACTCCATGAGGGCAGAGAGGTGTCTTGTTCGGGGTTGGCTTCCTAGAACTGAGAACACAGCCTGGCACATAGCAGATGCTCAATAAATCATGGTTGAATAAATAAAAAGAGGAAGGGAAAGAGAAAGGAAGGAAGGAAGAAGGAAGAAACTGACAGGCATGTGAGCTCCTGAGACCCGTCAGTCCCCAGTCAGAATTTGGAAATGTTGCTGTGTTGCCTCCTTCTCTCCTTCTTCCCATGGAAGAGAGCACTGGCTGAGAAACTGAGGCATGATGGGACATTGGGCCGCACTTCCCGGGCCACCGAGGCCGGCACCAGGTTTGAAAGACAGAGGGCCAGGACGGGAAGAACAGGCTGCCGACGCCACCTGCTGGGAAGCGAGGGCATGACAGCTGTGCCTACCCTGCTGCCTTGGGGCCGGCGCTGCTCCACACTGAGGGGCATTGGGTCGGGGGAGGCGGCTCAGGGGCGTGGCCAGCAGAGTGGTGAGTGTACACGGCCACAGCTGCAAGCCTCTTTATTCTGAGGCACTTGGGTATCCCGCCCGGTCAGCGGTATGAGGAGGGCGCGCCGCGCTGGCCTGGGAGCTGCATACCTGCCCTCCCTCTGCAGCCAGCTAGGACTCCCACGTGTCCGGAAGAGAGACAGCTGCCCTCCTTCGAGCTGCGTACACCCCACACGAGGCCTCTGGAGGGTAGGGGAGTGGGGCCCGCCCTGACTCCCCACTCAGGCCAGGGCCAATGGTCCAGTCCCACCAGCCAAGGCAGCAAAGCTAGTGTCCTGATGAGAGCGTCCCGTGTGCCTAGAGGTACATCATCCGGCTGTGCAGAGGTCTCACCAACCAGAAATCATCCACAATCTTCCCATCCTGGGAGGGACAAAAACAGAGCGGGCAGTCAGGGCTTGAAAGCCTAGATGCTGGGCCTAGGTGACCTGGGTTCAAATCCCATCTCTGCCTCTGATAAGCTATGTGACGGTGGGCAAGTTGCTATCCCTCTCTGAGCCTGTTCTCCTGATCTGAGAAGTGGAGATAACGATCATAGGATCATAGATGTTGTGGGAATTCCATGAGATAATATTTAATCCCAGGGCTTAAAGGGGAGCCCAGCACATGGTGAGACTGCTAAGCACGGGCACACGTCCTGGATTGGGTTCCGGCACATAAGCTGTCTGTGGCCTTGAGTACACGCCTCTGTGGCCCCAAACTCCATGTCCCACGCAATGGGGAGAGGAGGGAACAGTACAAGGGTACAGGCCATCGTGGGAGCAGCCGGAGGGTGCACGGTGTGGGTCTCAGTTAAGGGCAGCGCTGTATACTAGAACAGGGTCTTTCGGCTCAGATTCCAGCTCTGCCGCCCTCCAGTTGTGTGACCTCGGGACAGTTACTTCCCCGCTCTGAGCTTCAGTTCCCGCACCTGTGGAGTCCATCCCCGTGGGATTGCTGCGGTAACTACAGTGCTACCAAACAGAGCCTGGAGCCTAGAGCCAGGCTCTCAATACACCATAATTTTCTCATTATTTTAAAGCCACAGAGAAGAGTGAGCCGGTCATTGCTGGGCCCCATCTAAGCCTGTGTCGCTGCTCTGCCACACGAGTCGCATTGTCTGGCCCCTACTTGCCACCCACCTTCTTCCTCTCTGCCTAGAGAAAGACCTACCGAGCTTAGCACTTCCACACTGCGCTAAGCACAACATATACACAGGGTGGTCCAAAAGCATGGCGTATGTTTAAATAAAGAAAAAAATTACAAGCTGGATGTGGTGGCACACATCTGTAACCCCAGCACTTGAGAGGCTGAGGCAGGAGGATCGTTGCGAGTTTGAGGCCAGCGTGGGTTATAAAGTGAGTTCAAGGCCAGCCCGAACTGCATAGTGAAACCCTGTCTCAAAAAGACAAAAAAAAAAAAAAAAAAAAAAAAAAAAAAAAAAAAAAAAAAAAACAAAAAAAAAAAAAAAAAAAAAAAAAAAAAAGAAAGAAAAAAAAAAAAAAAAAGCCAAGACAAATAAACCAAAAACAACCCATTATACATTCACCATATTTTTTTCTCACACTTCATAAGTCATCCAATGCCTATATAATTCTGTGATGTAGAAACCACTCTTATCCCCATTTCATAGGTGAGAAAACTGAGGCTCAAAGAGATTAGATAAGTTGCTCAAGGTCATGCAGCTCAGATAGGTATGTACTGAGGCAGGATTCAAGCCCAGGGTTTCTAGCTCTAGAGTCCCAGGTTTTATTTTTTATTTATTATTTATGTTTGATTCCAAGGCTTGGGCCACTCAGCTCCAGAACACACTGGGCCTGGCTGCGCAGGGCGCCCCGGACCTCCCCCACTGACCTGGTCGTCAGACACCTGTTGGATGTGCAGGTGGGTCCCGTTGAGGATGTGCATCCGCGTGTACCCGTACTCCTTCACGCGCACGGCGCTCCAGGGCCTCGGCCTGATGACAAAGGGGGTCAGACGCTCCTCACAGCCCTGCAGGGAGATTCGGTCAGGTGCGGGTCCACAATAAACAGAAATGACCTCCCAGCCTGGGCCCCTGCCGTCCCCTAGGAAGACAACTTCAGCCAGGTGTGGGGGTGCACACCTGTAATCCTCACACTCTGGGAGGCTGAGGCAGGAGGATCACCACCTGGGCAATCTAGCAAGAGCCTGTCTCACTCAACATAAGAAATGAAAAGGGCTGGGAAGATAGCTCCACCGAAAGGCCCTGGGTTTAACCCTCAGTTCTGGAAAAGAAAAAAAGACAAATTGGATAAGACTTGGCCGCAGTAATGCTCACAGCTGAGCTTGTAGGCTTCTAGGAAGGTGCAGGGCTGCAAAGACTGTCTGCTACGGCAGTGAAAGCCCTGACCTGGAGGCCTCCCGAATGCCCATCAAAGGAGTCAAGTGAATAAAGTATAAGCAGGGTGAGTCAGAAAGATGGCCAAGACAGAGTTTGAAGGGGAAAGGGCGGATACGAAGAACAGAAGGAATCCGTGAGTCTCAGCTCTAGCTGCATAGTAGACAAATGAAGGAAGATTTTTACGCCAGGTATTGTAGCACAGGCCTGCATATAATTCTAACACCTCTGGGAGGCTGAGGCAGGAGGGTTACAGGTTTGAGCCTAGCCTGGGCAACTTAGCGGTTTAAGAAGACCCTGTCTCAAAATAAAAAATAGGCTAGGATGCAGCTCAATGGGAGGGCCCTGGATTCAATCCTGAGTACCATGGAAAAAAAAATCACCGCTTTTCCCCAGCATTGTAACATTGCCAGGGGTTTCATCCATCAGTGACAGGAGCAGTGGGGAAAATTTGAGAAGTAACAGGATGCTTGCCTAGTTTCAAAGTGTATCTCCAGGATTCTCTTGTTAATTACTTTTTTTTTTTTTGGTTTTTCTCCGGTACGGGGAACCGAACTCACGACCTTGCGCTTGCCAGGCAGGTGCTTTTGAAGCTGAGCTAAATCCCCAGCCCCAATTACTTATTAATTATAAAGGAAAAAAGAGTAAGGCCTGGCTGCCTTAACCAAGTGACCCAACTCCGCAGTGTCAGTATTGAGCCAGATCCACGTCAGACTTGGATCTGGGGGGTAAGAAACTCCGTGGAAGCTCAAGAGGCATCCTAAGCCCGCACCGAGGGCACGTCTGGGTTTTGTAACCAGAAACGTACAGCTCCAACATCGGGCAAACCCAGGTGGGGGGATGTCCTATAAAACGACTTGGCAGGAACTCTGCAAAATTGTCAAGGTCCCGAAAACCAGAGAGAGGGAGGAACTGCTTCTGATTAAAGGGAGCAATAGAGATAAGACACCTGGGGGGGACCTTTGCTTTGATTTAACGACACTCATGGGGTGCTTTGCTAATTTGAATAAGGTCTGTAGATTAGATAACAGGGTGTTATCAGTGTTAACTACTTGAATTTGATCATTATTCTGTAGTGATGCGCAAGTCCTTTTTTTTTTTAATACAGAGGGATAAAGGACATCATGTTTACAGTTTATTCTTGATTGGATCTGAAAATATGAATAAAATGGAGATGGAAAATAATGAAAACAAGTGTGTTTAAATGTTCTCGGCGAAGGGCATAGGGAACATCATTCTGCTATTTTTGCAGCTTTTCTGTAAGTTTGAGATAACTTCAAAATTTGAAATGAGGCCGGGTGTGGTAGTGCATGCCTGTAATCCCAGCATCCGGGAGGCTGAGGCAGGAGGATCGTTGAGAGTTC